AAGAAGTAAGACTAAAGATTTAAATAAACACAGGAGGGGGTGCTTAATATAATATTATAACAGTATATGGACAAAGGTTTTGGGGAGACATGCTTTTATTCCTCCCCGCTGTGTGTGTGTGTGTGTGTGTATATATATATATATATATATATATATATGAATATACATTAGGATATTAATATCAATATTGCACAGGCTGTGATGCAGCTTTATCTCGTTTAATTGACAGAATTCAGACCGTGGTAGCACGTAAAACGAAGAGGGGTCTTTGAATCAGCAAAGTGCTTGTAATGTAATAAGCACTCTCTTCTAAATGGAGCCTTGACTCCATTTAAAAGAGGGCAGAAAATATGTGTGCACTCTTGCTTAAGGCTTTCATCTTGCATATAAATCACTCCTGAAAGTGGGTGTTTGAGCGCCACCGATTTCAGGTCTTGGGGCGCATGCTGTATTACCGGCCAAGGCTGCATTAATGACAGAGCTGTGCCATGGCACCATGAAGTAAATTAAGCCAATTCCAAATATTCTAAGGATTTTTTTTCTTGCTGTTTTAAAAGCCTTACCCTTACGTGTGCTTCTTCTTTCCCTCTACTTTCTGTTTCTGTCTAGGTACCGCGGCAGCTGAGTGCTCTGACATTGTACAGGTGTGAGCAGTCGGTTCTGGATTACTGCCATACCCACCTGTCGCTGCACCTCAATGTGGGCATGGAGCCCTCCACTCAGGCGCAGGGAGGTCCAGGGCCAGCATTGTACCAACCCAGCCTAATGGCTGCCCTCCCCTCAAAGCCTGTGCTGCCTTGCCCCCAGACCCACTCCCACCACCACTGAGCTGTGCACACCACGAGGCTCTGTCTCCAAACTACTGTACGTCAGCTGCACATAATCACAGAACTGCTCATACGAAATGAAAGGCTGTGTGGGAGGAAGCTGGGACTGGTAAAGAAGCAAAGGAGACAATTAATTTACTGCAGAGCATCCTGGAACCAGGGTAATGAAAATGAAAATATTTCTCAGTGGAAATAAAGGGGAGCAGCAGTTTTGATTAGTGAGCTTCTGACCTACCTGACCCTCAATGTCCTCAATTAGCAAAGGAGGCTGAAATTCAGCATGACTTTCTGCATTCTGCTTTGCCTCTTGAGGAGTATTAAAGATAATAATTTCATGATTTGTTAATCTTATTAAACATATTTCCTTGACTTCTCATAACGTGGACACCCCTCTGCTGTGCAGGTAAAGTAATCAAAATGCAAAACGTTGTAAACAGAGCAGGGGGAAACAGCATGATAAGCAACTGAGTAGCTGAACAAATGAAAGCTCGGCCAAGCTGAAAGGGTTTCTACTGTTTTGTTTTGTCTTTTTTCTGATCATGCTGTCAGCCAGAGGTCTCTCTCAAACTCAAGTCCCTGTAGCTTTTTTCATTTCGAGAAATGAGCCTCTCCAATGAAATTACCCAAGACAAGAGAAACAAGTCCGAAAATAGCGGACAGTAATTGTTTTATAAAATGTACAGCCCACACATTTTGCTGGCAGTCAGTATAGTTTACATTGTGACTTTTGAATTGCTTAATGATTTGTGATGTTGATCACGTTCTTATTCATTTGAGAAATAAACAGAGGAAAAATAAACACCAAGTACAGAGCTCGGTGCACTGGGACGTTCAGATGTTTACTTTTCATCCTTCATTTAAATCACTTATGTGGCTAATGGTTTTTGGTTTTTATAATGTGTTATTCAGCCAATTATCTGATTGTACACTTGCATATCTACACATGTGCTTTTTACAAAATGCTACAATATAATATATGGCAAATAAACTGTGCTAAATGACCGGAAACAGTGTCATTCATCAAGTTCAGCGGTATCAACCCAAACAACTGTCTGCTGTACTTTGCCAGCTGTGTAGGTGGTTTAAACTGCAGAGCACAGTGCACAGCACAGGCAGGACTGTCTGATAATGATGTGTGTTTGGTTTTTGCCTTATTGATCAAGACCCTGATGGTAACTTCTCTTGCTTTTCTTCTTCTGTGACTGTGTGGTATCTGATGTGATACAGTAAGCTCGCTGAACTCATACACTTCTAGGCTATATTACTTTCAGGGAAGGAAAACGTGTACAGATCACCCAATTAATATCCTGAATATTGTTCAACGCAGCAGTTCTATGTTCTTAACATAGACACAGTTTACGATGAAATTGGTAAAAGGTTATTGTGATATAAAAGTATACATTTGTTTTTCTGCTGGGAATTGACCGTTAGCTAAACCTGTCCAGTAAACAGCAATCATCAAATAATAGTTTATCTACAATAACTATGTGCAGCAGACCTGCTGAGCTTTGGTTTTCTGCATATGTTGAACTGCTAACCTGCAAAATCAACACTCACCATTTAAGGAGATTATTAAGTATATGATGTGAATGATAGCATGCCCAGCTTACGGCAATAAACAGTTATGATACAGTTGTAATAGTAACACAGTTTTACCCTTGAGGCCAATGAAAATTAGTTAACTAAACTGTTTGGGGTTTAGCGTCCCACAACTAGGCAAGCTCACTACACAAGTCCCCAGAAGTTGGTCCTGAATACTGATTCAGCATATTGTAGAGTAATATTAGGAGCTCAGTCCTGCTACACGTCTGATTGATTTAATTAATACACACCTAGCTAGCTATGACAACAGGCAAAAGAAGTAAGACTAAAGATTTAAATAAACACAGGAGGGGGTGCTTAATATAATATTATAACAGTATATGGACAAAGGTTTTGGGGAGACATGCTTCAATTTATTAATTCAGGTGTTTCCAGAATTTTATACAGGTGTATAAAATCAAGCGCCTAGCTATGCAAATCATAGCTAGGTGCAAATCATTTGTGAAACAATAGATTTTTTTTGAAATCCTCACTGATCTCAAGCATAGAGCTGTAATTGGATGCTGCCATTGCAAAAATGTGTCCAAATATTTCTGGCACAACTTCACCTGCTTCCAAGGTGCATTGAGAAGGACAAAGATCTGGTGGCGTGAAGACTCCAGCGACACTTGAAGCACTATGGAACAACTTTATTAGCTGACCAACGCATTTTGGCTTGTGGCCTTCATCAGGGTCATTACAAAATACAAAATAATTTAAGTTTAAATAAATAAAGAAATCCAAGTTAACCAATCACACATAAACAAGCTGACCAATCAGCATTTAAGGGGGTGGTACTAGCCAAGGCATTCTTATTACCGACACATAACATACTGACGATTTGTCACGTCCCTATGATACGCGGCGGATTGCGGATGAAATCCCATAGAATTAAGCTTCCAGCCGTGTATTCCAGCCCTAAACCTAACCCTAAACCTAACCTTAATCCTAAAAGCAAAATAGTGTAACTCGCAGAAACTCATTAATAGACCTGTGTTCATACCTGTAGGAAATAAACTCTTTAAACAAAATATCCAGAATGCTTCATGGTGAGCTTTATTTTTTATTGGCATTGACGCCATGAAGCCCAGTCAAAGAGGTGATAAAATTAACTTTATCAGGAAAAAGAGAGATCTAGTTCAACTTTTTATTATGGAATTAATAATTATTAATAATAATAATAATAATAAATAATAAATTAATAATAATTACTATGTGTAACTTTTTCTGTGGACCTTTGAGAATGAACTACTTTTGGATATGTGGGGTGATTTTCAGTCCAGAGTCAGCCAGTACCACCCCCTTAAATGCTGGTTGGTCAGCTTGTTTATGTGTGATTGGTTCACTTGGATTTCTTTCTTTATTTAAACACAAACTGTATTTTGTAATGACCCTGACAAAGACCACAAGCTGAAACACGTTGGTCAGCTAATAAAGTTGTTCCATAGTGCTTCAAGTTTCGCTGGAGCCACCAAAAAGTCACTTGTGTGAAATTCTTTCCCTCCTACAGATTTCACAAGTGGTATTATTGCAGAGTTACAAAGTGGGGTTGCCAAGTTCTGAGCTGCATACTGTGTAAAGGTCTCCAACACTATGCTAACTCCAGAGTTACAACCCTCCTCTGACATTAACATCAGCATAAAAGCTGTGTACCAGGAGCTTCGTGATATGGCTGTTCATGTTCATCTGTACAACGTAGCTCTGTGCATTTGTCCACATAGTGTATATGTAAATTTTGTTTTCCTTTATTTGAGTTAAAGAAAAATTCTTAAGTTTAAAGTATAATGTTGACTATGTTTGAACTGCATCTAAATTATCTTTTAAGAAACTCATCAAAATAATATATAGCTATTACATGTTTACTAAAGTAGTTAGCTAGCAGCAGCTATGAAGATCTGTTTATTTTAGCTGGCCAAGCCATTGCTTGCAGGGGCGTCTTGTGTGCATCCATGTGAAATTAAGAACCCAGTGATTGAAAAATAACAGCGATGATTTAACAGTAGATTAGCCCCTAAACTCTAATGCAACAGTAATGGATGGGGATAGGGCTTAGCAAACGGTCAATTGTTGAGAGGCTTTTTGCAATATTGATTTAAAAAAAATGTTTTTGAACATGTGACATCACAGATTAAATTGTACTGAGAAAATTATATTTATTATACATTTTGTTTTCTATGTGTTTGAATAGAAATGTCCAGGGATGTACAATATTCTGTCATTATCAATACTGTATCCATCTCCAGTCATGCATTAGCTGTACTCTGAATATTTTAACGCTGACTGTATAAAACAAGTCATCTGGCATCATGAAGAACAAATGAATGACGCATTGATTGTGTACAGCGGCACATGTGTATGTCCGATTTTCAACAGTTCCTCAATAACAGACATTTTGATCATGCTCCGCCTGGTGTTCCTCTGTTTAAAGACAGAAAGAAAGAAAGAAAAATAAAACAGGCAGTGCAGAAGATATATCTTCTTATGACAACACGCTCTGACACACGACAGATTCATGCTGCTTGAGGATTTATTGCTCTGTAGCCGTGCACACGGAACAGTTTAATGACGCTGATAGACTGCATATACTGCACTCGCTTCAAGTGTTCAGAAGAGTGTTGAGAGAATCAGGACAGTGAGGAGCAGTAGATGCAACACAATAGCATCAGACCTAAGCGTTTGCATGGATTTACACTAACAGGCTGATGACTCATCATACTTCAACCACCACTGACAAACACCTCTGGAGCAGCTCTGTCTCTACGACTTTACCCGCAAACTAGGAAGATAATTATCACACACATCACATCTTAAATCAACTGTGTGACTCACAGAAAGGGAAAAGAGCAATACACAATATTTTAAAGTTTGGAGTGTGTAGAACTAGGAGGGTTGATAGATGATTTTTACAGGTCACAAGAAGATTAAGGCATGTGGAAAAAGAACCAAAACAAAAATCTTTTTCTAATATAGAAATGTTGTCATCTGAAACCTTGAAATGATTAAACTTATAATAAAGTATTGACTGAAATAGGCTGAAAACAGAAACACTCAACTGTTCCCAATTTTGTGCATGCACACCGAAGCCAGAAGGCCACTAGACAAAATCATTCTTTTTTAAAAGGACAATGCCAATGCTTTCACTGTACAGGAACAACAACCACGCGCTCCTTGCAGATGCTGACTGGCTTAATTTCTCGGAAATGAAAAGTGCCAAGGCGATCATAACATTTTTGTTTTTGTTACTTACTTTTAGCGGTTTGGACAACACGTGCGTCCTTCTGACAATCTGTTGGCACTTTCTTGAAAAGCAGGCACAAGCTATCTTCTCACCCCTTCTGAGCTGTCAGACTGAGGTAGACAATGCAACACTTTATAGTATATGGGCTTAAAATCCCTTCATCCCTCATCCCGTTCCATTGATTTCATCCAGCGATCATATTTCCGGGGGGTTCAGGATGGCGTCGAGGGAGACTTCCACATTTACAATTCTCATAAAAACACACTAAAGTAAAGGGTAGAGAGAGTGTAAAAAGTTACGATAGCTTCTTCATTCAATCTATTTTTATACTGGTTTTTAAAATCGCCCCAAATAGCTCTGTCGACTTGTTTACTCAGATGTTCTGAAATCAAATAAAATTGGGCCAGATGTTTTTGCTTTTGGCATATTCTAACCTAAATTCTTCTTGTGGATTCCAAGTGGTTGCTGCAACACAACAGATTAGAGAAAAATTTACCTTTTCAAACTGTAACAGATGCACAGATCATCTCAAAGTTGCACAGTCAAAAGGTATACATGCTTTTGTTTGTGGCTGTTCTCCAGGTGTATTTCTCCTACAAAAGGGCTTCGTCTCACCCACCAGTTTAGGATATGTTTGAAGTGTTGAAGGATTTGGGGTCAAACTGAAGTTTCTGTCTGTCTTCAGCCGCTTGCACGTTGCCCCGTCATTTAAGAATTATGTTGCAACTGCTGGCGGGCAATGCAGCTGTGAAAGCTCTTGATTTCCCCGGGGAGTTACATTGCTGCTACGCTCACAGTTTGAGGTTACCTTTACCATTTCAGAAGCCCAATATGACACTGGTATTTTTTTTTTTAACAAAATGCCAAATCACAAGGCAATTGACTATGTTCCTGATACATTTTATGGTCAAAAGGCATAGCCACTAATGCTTCCAAGAACTAGCAGCATTGTTTGTCACATTGTTTGTTTAAGTTGCCTAAATACTAATTAAAAATCTTTGAGTTGGACATAATTATGCCTTGTAAAGGTAGCTGCCTTTTACCTTAGCAACTCCTGAACTCATTTTATCCATTGCACAAATATAAGGTGTTAAACTAGTACAGCATATTTGTTTTAGTTTAAGTCTTGCTAAGTCATGACTCTGGATTCAAATTGGATGCAAAGTTTTTATTAGCTTTTAG